CAGGTTCCCAGGATCCAAACTCTGGAGTGGCAGAGGTGAATTGACATCTATGAACATGTATATGCCGACAGCATTGAAGATGGAGGCGCAGAGATCATGGTTCAAGGTCGGATCAACATTGTAGACTCGAATCGTGTTAATACCAAGCTGTTGCATGAGGGCAGCGTCACGGAGACAATTGGTGCCATTGCTCAGAGGATCAGCGTCAGATGTGGCACTGAAGGCGTCGGAACCGCCTGGTTGGTAGCTGGAAAGTTTGTCAATTGTGTTCTTCCAGCTTTAGAATGAATAGTGCCACGCACGCTACGCCAATGATCTGAAAGCGATCGCTCGTGACATTGTTGACAAAGTTTGCACCTTGGACCTTCACGTTCTGTACGGCTGAGGTAAGGGTTGCGCAGAGCAGGAGGCCTGCACATATGGGATTGAGGAACTGTTTGAGTCAGTGGGGAGGTAGACGATGCTTTGTGGGGCAGTAGTCTCACTCGAAGCATTATTGGTACGAACGGGAGATCCTCTGGTGTATGAACGGGATCGTCTCGTGTTCGCGGGAGTATTAAATGTCTACTGTTGGGAAAAATGGAAGTTTGGAAATTGATTGGAACAGTTATGATGGAGAAAGAGAGGAAACCGACAAAAGGACGGTAAAGGGTGTGGAGTTGAAGGATTGTGGCAAGAGCAATCCAGTTGCTCCAGTCTCTACTTATATGGAGTGTACATTGAAATGGTGTCGTCAAGGGACAGGAAGGAGGCAATAATAATAATGTACAAAGACCCATACCCTAATTTGTACCTATGCATAGGTACTGTACCTAGTAATGCAGTATGCAATATGCGCGCCCCCCTGCGGGTCACATCCAGCCCGAAACCACGGGTCCAACTCCTTTTTAACTTCATGACACACCTACCCCAAGTACCCCAAGCTCACACCCCGGCCAAGACAATTTGACACGACATTTAATGCGCCTAATCTTACAACCGGTTTCACATGAACCTTCGTTTCACACTTGCAGCACCCAAAATTGAATCACGCTTACATTATTATCGCGTATCTTCCGTCCTCGGATACCTTGTCAGACGGAGTTTGTCAGTTTAGGCCGCCTATAGAAGCAGTCTCCAATTCACCGAGAGCCCCGTACTCTCCTGACCTCATCCAATCGTCCCCGTCTATTTGCACAAAGAAGGGGCTTTGAGCCGCTGCTTGAACCATGCATGCACAGCACTATGTACAATGGAGTAATACATTCATATAAGAACCCGACCGACACGCTAAAACGGCCTTGGAGGAGAGATGCTGTCGAAGACGATATCAGAGGCGGATGTAGGTAGCTGACGGAATGGAGCTCAGTCGTCAATCCCAGTCGAGGAACCAGGTCCTGAGCCAGAGCCTCCCGCACCAAAGGGACCAACGCTGATGGTCGGATCCAAAGCAATCATCTCTGCTAATATGTCGATGACCGGCTTCGGGACAGTCTTGTCGTAGATATGGATAAGGTCTCGTGGTTGAGGATAGACCTTGAGAGCCTTGTAGAAGCAGAGCGCTGCCTCGATTTGCTTGGAACCTGGAAGTCGGTCTTAGCATGCAAAGCTTCACCCATAGCTGAACGCTGAACGTACCGTCCTGGCAGAGAACTTCCCCTTGCCCGACTTCGTTCATGAAATATGCCTCCTTGTCTTCCACATCCGTAGGAAACCCCTCTTCTCTGGCCGCGCTGACAGCATCTTCGATGATCTGCTTCTGCTGTACGCCTTGTGCCTCTGCTTCTTCCTTTGCAGCTCGTGCTTCCCTTCGCGACTCTCTCTTAAGGGCTTTCCTAAAATCTGGATCTGACCGCCGCTTATGATCAAAATAGACCGCGTATGCTGTGTATAAATAACATCAGCCAATATGTAAAGAGAGAAAGGCGGGAAATAAAAAAGCAACTAGCTACCGCAGATGCTATGTGAATAAGCATGTGCTATCACTTACCAAGGAAACCGGTTATGATAGCACCAGCGGAAGCTATCACAATCGTAGATGTCCGGACAGAGGAAGACATGCTGGAGGTCTTGAACAAGTAAGAGTAATTGATAGCACAGAGACCTCTCTTTTCATGTAGTCTCTCTGACCAGGAAGAAGTTGGACGTTTGATATCAATCTTTCTGAACGGCCATAAATTTCTTGTAAGCTCAGATCGACACCGCCAAGAAGACATAAATCTACCCCGACTGGGCCTCGGGTAAGCGCCGCCCTACGAATTGGTTTGTTCGCTCCGTAATGTCCTTCCCGTATCATATCAAAACACCCACTTTTTACGTTTGATAAGATGCCTGTCCTTCAATAACCAGAATTTTCCCGGGGCAAGCGCTATTCAATGATAACTAGCTTCAACTTGCCGTCGTTTTGTGTACTAGTACTAGTAGTCGGTGCTACATCACTTTATCTGGCGTCGCCGAGCTGACGTTCTCCTTCAAGACAATACAAGACAAGATACGGGTAAGACAAGACAAAAACGAGATTAACGTGGCTTGCTTCTTCGAGCAAAGCCAAGTAACGTTGGCGCCATACTCAGTGGGAACCGAATACATATACCTTCATATTTTACAGATAAACAGAGCAATTGGCACAGGTCTGCAAATCTTACGTTAATAAGACTGAAGCCAACCACGTAAAGTATCTGGTCTAGTTTTGTCGTCGATCTTCAAACCACATAACTGCAACTTCGACCAGTCTTCTCCATGGCAACCTCAAACCACATAATGAAGGTTGCCATTGTTGGCGTGCGTGATATCATGCTATCCACTGCTCCGCCTGCAAATATTCGACTAACAAAGGTAGGCTGGTGGCAACAGCGGCAGCTTCATGACTGAAGCTCTGCTCAAGACTGGCAAGCACACCATTACGGCAATTACACGGGTCGATAGCCAGAACAAGTTGCCAGAAGGCGTGATTCCTAAGAAGGTCGATTACAATAAGCCGGAGACACTCGTTGAGGCACTCAGAGGCCAAGATGCGCTGGTCATCACACTGAGTAATTCCGTTCCAAAAGAGACCGAGATGCAGCTTATCAACGCCGCCGGTGAGGCTGGCGTGGCCTGGATTCTGCCGAATGAATGGTCCCCAGACACCGCGAACGAGGCGATGGTCAAAGACGTGTTTCTTCTCCAGCCGAAGGGTGAGCAATCTCATTGTATATGCACCATATAAGACACTCACTGACCACAGACTGTTGTGCTTGCAGTGGACACTCGCAAGGCCATCGCAGATCTTGGCAAGAGTTCTTACATCGCTGTATCTACCGGCTTCTGGTATGAGTGGGGTCTGGCTATTCCTGCGGGCTTTGGTATCGACTTTGCCAACCGCATCGTCACTCTCTTCGACGAGGGTGAGACCAAGATCTCTACCTCAACGCGGCCACAGGTACGCCTACAATTGTCAAACACTTTTGTGACAAGCGACTAACTCTTGCTAGGTTGGTCGTGCTGTCGGCGCTCTTCTCAGTCTGCCCATTAAGCCCGAAGGCTCGAACAAAGAAGCCTGCCTTGAGAATTTCAAGAACAAGGTAGTCTATGTCAAGTCCTTCACCGTCAGCCAGAAAGATATGTTGGAGTCCGCTCTTCGCGTGACTGGTACCAAGGAAAACGACTGGACCATCACAAAAGAGCCAGCTCAGGAGCGGTACTCCAGCGGTATCAAGGAGATGCAGGAAGGCAAGCGCATTGGTTTTGCCAAGATGATGATTACCCGAGTCTTCTTTCCCGACGGTTGCGGTGACTTCGAGCACAACAAGGGCACGCTTAATAGTTTGCTCGACTTGCCTAAGGAGGACATTGATGAAGCGACCAAGGCTGCGATCGAGCGCTCGAAGACTTCCAACTAGGTTAAAGAGTAAACCCTTTATTTTATTTTTATTCGATAATCAGAGTACATTATTATTAGTTGTCCCATGAACATCATTATTTCATTCATTGTTCAACAACTTAGTCCATGCTTAATTCAAATGGTTATTGGGTATTAGGACGGGTGGTCGCGAGAGTAACGTTCCTTTTGTCGGGCATGGAAGATGTTCTTGAGTAGATAGCTTTAGCAGTGGAATGGGCAATGCCGTGATCACTTCGGAAGCATGATCAGGCCGACAAGAAAAGGATTCGACGTGCAGTCGCTTTGGACTTACACGATCAGTCGAACGCGATCCACTTGACCGTCATAGAGAAGCATTGATACACTTTCTAAAATTCGAACCCTTATAACTCATCGTTCTACAATAATATAATAGAAAGTTGAGTACTCAATACGCTCTTCAGATATGTAATTATTCAGGGTCAATATAAGAAGTAGAAGGATGAAAGGTAGGTAAGCGTGCTTATTCGGTCGAGGTGCTATGGGTACTACCTTATATTACCCTCTTTTTACCGCCAAGACACGGCGCTAAATTCTCCCGACATATCGCCCAGGCTTCATCTTGCGCTTGGCATCTCCCTTTAGCATTGCGATGCAGGCTCGGGCGCTATGGAGGACAAGGGGAAAGGCTTTTCCTTACGCCAGAAGAAGTCACGTCAAGCCGTGCCGAAGCAGATATCTGGTCCAATTCAGACAATCCCCCAAGTCTCCCGGGGTCCTACTCGTCCAAACGTGAACGGCAGAGTCGAGACCTCGACAGCTAATACTTCTGACCTTGTCAAGAGAAGATATTCAACACGCTTCACCAATCTTCCAGACTTCAGCAATGCTGACGCGCCACCTGTCCCATCCATTCCGACCCTGCCTGCCCAATTTGCCCAATCTGACTCTCGTCCATCAACAGCACGACAGAATCAGCAGCTTCAAATAGATGCGAATGCCCTGAAGGACCCTGACCTGCAGATCGAGAGCTATTCTACAAATTTGCTATCAGACGCCTCTGATCAAGAGCTTCGAGACTATCAAGCAAGTCTTCGAAAGCTCAAAAATCGCACCTCGACCGATCTACAGCAGAATGTGTACCAAAATCGAACACAGTTTATCAAGATCTCTAAAGAGGCGGAAAAGCTTAAAGGGGAGATGCGGACACTTCGGGGCCTTATCTCCGAGCTTACGACCTCTCTCAACCAAGCTTCAATGAATGCTGGAGCATCAGAACCGCGCGCCGCATCGGATGATGGTGCAAGGTCAAGAGCTCGCAAGCAGGCAAACAGGAGCTCGGTAGCAAACCTGGAGGCGATGTGGAATACCCAATTACATGCACTGTGGAAAAATGTCGAGGGGTCGCAGAAGTTCCTGCCCGCTATACCGGGCAGACACGTGGTTCTGGAGCAAAGTACTTGGCTGGAGTTGGATGCTGCTACTTGGAAAGCAAAGCGTTATGCGCATATTTTTCTTCTGAACGACCATCTGATGGTTGCAACTAAGAGGAAGCGGCGAATAGATCCCAATGCTATGACTACTGGCGATGCCGGGCAAAAAAGCTCTTCAAGGACAGTTGCCGACAAATGCTGGCCTCTGCAGGATATCGATATGGTCGACCTTGCATCTGTTGGATCGTCGGGTATTGGCGACCGAGGTGCAATGTCCAACGCAATCAGCGTTAGATACGGCCACGAGTCCTTCACGTATCGTAGCGACAAGTCATCGACTACGGAGAAGATGAACCTTTTACAGGCTTTCCGGAGGACTGTTGATGAGCTGCGGAGGGCCCTGCAAGCAGATATGGAAGAAAACGTCAACAAGAGCAAGGAGACTATAGACTATCTGACCACCAGAGACCCAGCCCTGTCCAACAAAACAAACCTGCTGAGATCACTCAGTGGCGCCAAAGACCGTCCCGAAATCCTAATCGATGTGGACGGTAAGCACCAAAACCTTCGCTGGGTCGAGGGTCAGATCGACGAGCTTGACAGCGAGGTGGCTTTGCAAAAATTCGAAGACGCTGTTCGGCATGTTGAGAAACTTAGGAAACTAGCCAAAGGTCTCAAGGGCAACATGTTAGCCCAAGACCTTATCAGCACCAAGGTTGATGAAAGGGCTAGGAAGCTTGCAGGTCAGTACTTTTGGGTTCTTTATCCCACAAACGAAGACTGATATGATACAGACATCCTTGCCCTCCGCCTCACAGCCACTCACGCGCAGTTGACGGCAACCCAAGCCAACATCGCCTATCTCGTCCGTCTCAACTTCACCCCCCTTGCTCGCACCACCTATCTCGCTGCCCGCACTGATCTCATCCACATCCGCGCTCGCAGCATCATGTTTGAAGGCGATTTACCTCGGCACATCAACCAGCTCTCCTATGTCTACTTCTCTTTGATCCGTAACACCGTGAAAACCTATCAGCTGTGTTTTCCGCCAGTCATGATGAGCAGCTGTGTTCAGTGGGCAAAGGAGAGGTTGGACGAGTTTAACGCGCTACTAGAGAGGCAATTGGGCAGTGTGAGGGCTGGCTGCGCGTATTGGAACGATTGCTTGGGGAAGGCTATCGAGAATGCGGGAATGGTTGGTGAGGTGGGTATGGATTTTGCAAATCTTGTGGGTCTGGGGTTGATAAAGGCAAGGAAGGATGGAGAGCAGGCTGAGAGACAACGAGAGGGAGAGCAGCAGCAGCAATAGCGTTATGAATCTAGTCAAATACCCTACAATTTTCGAGAATTTCCACTATGGCTACCCGGCGCTCAAATCTAGCACATGACTCCCAAGGCCTCATACGGTTTTCGAATCTCAATCTCGTACCAGTCATGGTCCGCATAAAACACCGTTACCTTCTCGTCCATATTCTCTACCCAGACCCAGCAGATCCACCGAAAGGAAAGATTCCCTCCAAATCCCCAGAAAAAGCACTCCCAGACCTCGTCCAATTCCACAGGCCAAGCCCCAACGACCTGACACCCCAGCTCCTCGCGCGGACAATCAGAGACCAGGTCCTATTACTATACGGAGACTATGGGCTCGGTCTCGTATCTAGCAGTCTAAACGGTAAATTCCACCCCCCTCAATTGATGGACCCTTTATTGACGCTGAATCCAGTCAAATACCTCTCCCCCGCAACCTCCACCGCCATAGTCCGCTGCTCTCGCGCACACTACCGACTCGTGTGGGCCGCTCTGTCCTTCATGACACAGCTAACAAAGACGTCTAAACAGGGGCAACCGAGAGCCTGCGCGATACAGGTGGTCAGGGTGTCTGGTACGATCAAGAAGGCTGAGGAGGAAGCTATCAGGAGGGCTAGAGCTGCGATACTGCGGGCGAAAAGGGAGAGCGGTGAGGAGGGTACGAATGGGCTCTTGGGGATACTGGGGAAAGATGACGAAGAGGTGTTGCAGGGTGGGAAAAATATGACGGCTGGATCAGATGTTTCAGACGAGGATGATGAGATGGGAATGGGATCCGACGGAGAAAGCTGAACGAGTTGCGAGAGAACAGACTGGAACCGAGATTTCTTCGGGACATGCACAACCCAATGATCAAACGCTGTTTTCGCGGGACCAACGCCTATCGCTATGCAAAGACCAACACTGAGCATCATGATCGCCGCAGCACCTTCACGCCGCTGTCAGGGACAGGACCCATCTCTTCAACATCACTATCCTCCTCTCCACCGTCCTCAGTCAACGGCGGCGTCTCCTGGGCCCTAGCCTCTTCCTCCCGCTCTTTCGCCTCCAACTCATCAAATTCCTCCTTTCGATCAATCCACCGCTCTTGCACATCATGGATCGTCATCCCAGTCATCCCCTCCCTCATGGCAACCTGCCACACCGTATCGTTCGCTCCTTCAGCACCACCAAATGCATATCCTCCAGCTCGATCAATGGCCTGCAGCAGCGTCATCATGCTCTTCTTATCCTCGACCGCCAAGGTCTCGAAGCCTACGAGTCCGAAATCTTCCACTAATTCGACGACTGCGTTGTTGAGACCTTCGAACTTAGGATGCCGCATCACTGGGTTCTCGTTCGCTAGGTGAGGGAGCAGGTATGAGAGGTCTTGGACTTCTGTGTAGAAGTCCAGGTTAAACGGAAGAGGTCCATAGCTCGCGAGCTTGTCGATTTTTGTCATGACGTTAAGGTGTGGAAGGTCCATCTGGAGCATGGCTCTCAGAGAAAGCAGGAGCGTCGAGATATATAGCGAAGGCAGTGTGAGACAATATGAGTCTGTCAGATGCAGTGCTACTAGCTAAGCCACCCTAAGATATCAGCTTCATCTGCTCGAGCGTCGACACTCTAGAAAGGCTGCAGGGAAAAGCGGACTCTATACCCAAGCTTCTGTATCCTAAAAAAAAGATTCCTCAAACTCGAATGATGCGTAAAGAGCTCCACCTGGCCCGGACAATCAAACAGCACATAATCCTCCCCAAGGCCTCTCAAGCCCTCGTCCAACCACTCTCCGTTATGCTCGAGCTCCTCAAGCGCATAAAGCACTCCTCCATTCGGCCCCAGCCCTTCCTCCGCCATGACCTCTTCAAGCGTGACCAGGTCCCGCACGTCGAGCGCGCAGGGGTAGGACGTGCGATCGTTGGCCGGGTCGAGGTTCACGACGGAGCATTTGCGGCCGATGGCGGAGAGGAATTGCTGCATGCCGTCGCAGTAGGTGGACTTGCCGGAGCCGGGGGGGCCGATGATCAGCTGGGCGAAGGGCATGGTGGGTGCTCTGTGCCGTTGCGAACGCGTTGGCCACCAGAGTTTGTGACAGTTGTGTGTGGTGTTTGTGAAGATCGCAGCGAGCTTTCAGAGGTTGCCGCTTTTATAAAAGCGTAATCGTGTCTACCCCCATTTGCGCCCTACCCCCATTTGCGCCCATTTTAAATCCGATAATTCCAACGTCTACTATATCACGCCTATAGACGGCGACTATAGTACCGTAGCAATAGGCATCATGCTAGACTATGGTAGTAGGCCATTTAAATAATCAATAGTGGTAGCTACGATAGTGGTAGCCATGGTAGTGGTAGCTATCTATGTCGGATTTACATTTGCGCCCAATTTAGATCCAATAATTCCAACGTCTACTATATCAGGCCTATAGACGGCGACTATAGTACCGTAGCATTAGCCATCATGAAAGACTATGATCGTAGGCTATTTGAATAAGTAATAGTGGTCGCCATGGTAGTGGTAGCTATCTACAACAGTATGTCGGATTTATCGGATTTTAAATGGGCGCAAATGGGGGTAGGGCGCAAATGGGGGTAGACACGATTACCCCGCAGTACCTGCCTGACTTTTGTTGCTACGTATGCCTGTTCTGGCTCCCAGCACCCATTTTGAACTTGTTCAAGCTGCTCTCGGACCGCGGCGAAAACTGATCCTACTCTCCAGGGCCTTCTTGCCAATACATGATCCAAAGCCTACTTTAAGAGTATGGTATGGCGTCGTTGCGTTCATCGCTGGTCATATGCAATCCCTCCCGGCATACGGAGGTCGGCACCAAAAGTCCTGGACATGCCAAGACAAGGGTCCAGGTAGGGCTGAGTGCTTGGCATACTTCCAAATTTCATGGATAGCATTGTCAGGACCGGTACAGATGCAATATCAATGTAGGTATGTTTAATAAGATAACTAAGGTACCGAACTATGTAGGTGGGAAGGAGGCATGATATGGTAGGGGATGCCTCCGCCAAGGCCCGCTAGTTATAGGGCTGAGGGGTGTGTCAAGGGTACACTCATAACACTACCCCCTCCTTCGTTAAATCATATCCCATAATTGATGAGTAGAAAGGTAGAAAAATAGATATATATGCACGCTTAACGCCTGAAAAATGATAAAAGCAGTAAAGAAATAATCGTATCCGGGAACCTTAGCATCGTACCTTTCTCCGTTAGAGATATTAGAGACGATAGTAGCTTTTTATATTTACGCTATAGCGACGTCGCTAGTTGAAATATATACGCATATAGAGGGCCTAGCCGGAAGGAAATCGATATAGTATAGAGAGAATCATATTTATAGGCGCAGGGGTAAATAATAGTAATTTCCGAATTCGTATTTAAGCGGATAGGATATCGGTGGAATAATACGACGTGATTAATTAAGGGCTTTCAAACCGAATCGAGCCGTAAGCGCTAAAAACTCTAATTTAATATTAACTAACTTTAATATAGTCTTCTCTATAGTATATTATTTAGCTAATATTAATTATATTTCGTAATAGCGATAACGTAATTCATATATATACTAATATGACTTCGAAAGATCTTTAGAGTTATATTAGCAACGAGGGTTTACGCGAAAGATTATATATAAGATAATTTCTAATTAATATGGATCTAAGGGATCGATTCTCGGTTTTAGAAAAAATAGAGCTATCCTGAAGACATCGGACGGTTTCAATTCGACTGAAAACGAGGTATCCGAGGTAATTTCGGCCCGAGAACGCTGTCGCTATTAAAGGCCCCTCGCCCTAATTTCTTTATAGATAAAACTCTTCGGGATATCGCTTATAGAAGTCGTCTATTAGATCCTAGCAATTTTCGAATTCACCGCCGTCCGCATTATACCAGGTAAGGTCATTATCGAGGCCTTTCTACTTAACTTTATACTTGAGACGGCTATAAATTAATTTAAAGTTAAGTATTTCTTCGATAACCCATTTAATCCGACCGTTAATAATGATATACTTCGGCGAAGGATTTATCTACCCTAATAAGGGGTTATTTACCGCGAGACTTAAGAGATTAGAGTAGAAGACGTCGTGGATCCTTATAATTGACGGAAGTTCCAGACGATATAAGATTTCCATAAGGCCTGTAATCTCGAATAAACCGAGTCTCTTATAGTTCAATTTACGGGAAGGGTGATCGGAGATAATATTCTTACTATTTAGAAAGACCTTATCGCCTATTTAAAAAGTAATCTTTTATTAATACTTATTCGCTTATATAACTATAGCCTTCTAGACGCAGTCTATATTACTTCGAATATACTTAAGAACTTATTTTATATAGTTCGTAATATTCTTCGCTCGAGTAGTATTAAGACGCTTACGTATAATCTCGTAGTCGATAATATTTAGACTGAAAGTTATTCGAGAATAGAATTTCTTATTCGCGAGAAAAGGTAGAATATTAATAATCGATAAGATAGTATTATTATCGGCGAACTCGATAATAGATAGCTATCTTATCTAGTTATTTTATATATAGTTATAATATATTTAAAGATAACGCTTTATATTCTAATTCGCTTATTTAATCTATCTATCGATTTTAGAGTAAAAGGCTATTAATAGCTTAGCTATAATACTTAGTCTCTTATAAAAAAACTTTTATATAATAGCTATAAATTAAAAATCTTAATTCGATATTATTAAAGTCGATAAGTTATATAGGCGAAATACTTTCTTAAGTAGTAAGTTAACTATCTTCTTAGCGATAATATCTTTATCGATATTAGAATAGATTACGTAATAACGTTTCTTAGTAAGTTAATTAATCGCTATCTAAATAGCGTTATAGTCGTCGAATATAAATAAGTCTATAACGAAGTCGACTAATATATCTTACTATCGTTTCTATAGAATTAATAAAAACTATAATAAGTTATACTCTCGATCGTAAGACGTCTTAGCTCTTTAATAGATATAGTAATTCTTAACGTAGATAACTATAATAGCCCTTATACCTCGCTAATAATATTCTCTTTTAAGTAGTTTATAGATTTATACTATCTCGAAATAGTCGTAGAACGATTAATCGTATATCTCTCGAATAACATCGATATATATATTATCGAATACTTATAAACGGTCCTTATAATAAAGCATTTCGTTCTATACGAAGCATTTATTAAGAGTAATCCCTCGAAACTTATTCTTATTTTCGGCGATAGCCTCGCGGATTTTTATATAATATTCGTCTTTCTTATTAACCTCTACTACTTTATAGTAAATAGAGTTATCGATTATATATATATTAATATATTCGCTATTTAATTTCAATCGATTAGAGATAAGAATTATTTGATACTATTAGCGTAATTATTCGTTTTCGAGATCGATTAATTTATACTTAGTTATTCGTATAAATATATCCGCCTTAATATTCCGAGATTCTAATCGATAGATAATCTTTATATTAAATTCGAATAGTATATTCAAATAGCAAGCCTAGCGATAGCTGAGGTCTCTTTCTTCGGCGAAGTATATTAAGCTCTTATAGTTCGTAAAGATCTTAATAGAAATATCGATATATTTTAGTTTAGGACGCTAGTATTTAAGATAGCGAATAATAGCTAGTAACTTCTTATTGTAGATCTAATAGTTATACTCAATTAAAGTAAGATTCTTACTATAGAAAGCTATTAAGTAAAATACTCTCTTATTATTATATTAGAAAAGAATATCTTCGTTAACGTAGTCGAAAGAGTTAGTCTTCAAAACGACGTTCTTTATCTTATCGAAATAACGTAGAACTAGAACTTCCGTAACGACGACTTTCAAAAAATAGAAGGTCTCTTAATATACTAAGGATTAATTAAATATAATCTTCTTTATAATAAGTTTTACTATAGATTTAACTATTTTAGAAAAATCTCTAATAAATCGTTAATAAAAATTACAAAATCCGATAAAGGCCTATATCTCTTTAAGGTTAATAGATATAGTCTACTCGATAATAGTTTAAATTTTAATAAGATTTATTCGTAACCCGTCTATAAATATTAGTAGATCTAGAAACTTAGTTTCCTAAACGTAGAATTCGCACTTAAGAATATTTATCTGAAAGTCGATATTTCTTAATTTCTAAAGGATTTATCTAACGTATTAAACGTATTTCTTTTTTATCTTATTATAAATAAATATATTATCGAGGTAGATTTAATAGAAGTCGTTTAGATACTTAAATAGAATATTATTCATATATTATTAATATGTAACTAGATCGTTAATTAAATCGAAGGGGAGGATTTAATACTTATATACTTTAAGGGAGGTAATAAAAGTAGTAAAATCCTCGCTATTAGGGTGTATACGTAGTTTATTAAACGCGGCTATAATATTTAATCGAGTAAGATATTTACATCTCTAGATTCTTATCAAAATCTTATCTATTAATAGAATTAGATATCGATTCCTTTTAATAATAGCGTTTAGCTTTCAATAGTCCATATAAAAACGTAATTCTTTATTCGGCTTTTTCGCGAATAGAATAGGTAAGGCGAATAGTGTATAACTTAATGTTATGAATTTCTTCTTTAAATATTCATCCAGGTACTTCTTTACCTATTTTAGTTTATATTCTAATATTAAATAGATTCTACTTTTAGAAAGTTTTATTTTATCGAAGCTATCGTTGAATTTCAGCTTATAGTTATAAGAACGATATAAGGAAAGTATATTCGCCTTAATTCTATCGAAAATATCGAGATAATTATAATACTTCGTAGATAGCTTATATTTTACCTTCTTAGAACTAATCTCTTTAATACTATTAATCTAAATAAAGCAATTAAAACCGCAATATCTTTTATATTTCTTTTCTAAGTTATAGAGATAGGGTTTATTAATCGATATGCGAGAATCGCGAGGTATTCGATTAATGGAAGGTATATATAATATTAGCGAGTTATTATAGATTTTATTTATCGTTAATATAAATAGCTTATTATCTTTTTCATAGGTTAGTTAATAGTAAGTCGCTAT